AATTCGTAATGCCCGCGGGCCGATGCATAAAATACTGGTGTTCGGCCACTGTTATCTTGTACATGGGTACTGCACTTAGGGCTCTGAAGCAGCAGCTCTGCAACTTCTGTATGCCCGCTCAGAGCTGCAGCGTGTAGAGGCGTCCACCCACGCTCGTCAGTTAACCCTACATCTACTCCCTCAGCAAGAAGTAGTTCAATCACCCCAACGCGTCCGTTATACGACGCCTCGTGTAGTAGCGTCCATCCTGCGTAGGCTCGCAAGGAACCATCATTACGAGAGTCGCTAAGAAGCAGCTCAGCAAGCTTGCTGTTCACGGCAGCTGAAGCTGAGTAAAGTGGCACCATTCCGGCTTTGTTGGCCCGAGATACGTCGTCGCACCGACTAAGAAGTAGCTTGGCTACTTTTTCATGCCCGCAACTCGATGCCAAGAAAATCGGTGTCCATTGGCTATCGTCCACAGCGTTCGAGTCAGCGCCATTGTCCAGAAGTAGCTCGACAACCTCTAGATGGCCACGACTTGATGCTATATGCAGCGGCGTCGTTGAATTATTGGTTACAGCTGCGACGTCGGCGCCTGCATCCAGAAGCATATTGACGATCTCATAGTGACCACCATCAGAAGCGAAATGTATCGATGACCATTTGCTAAGATTTGCGTGGTGAACATCAGCCCCCTTCCTCAGGAGCAAGTTGACAATGTCTAGGTGTCCAAATTGAGAGGCAGCATTAAGCGGCGACCAACCATCATTACTCCGGGTAAGAATTTCGGCCCCATTGTCGAGGAGCAGTTCAATCACATCGAAGTGTCCGCAGTGAGAGGCCACATTGAGTGGTGTCCAACCGCCATCGTTAGCAACAGTGACGTTAGCTCCCCTTCTAAGCAGCAACGCGACGACGTCGAGATGGCCGTAGTAGGAAGCTACGTGTAGTGCCGTCCAGTTGTAGTTACTTGTTTTCTCACAATCTGCGCCTCTATCGAGAAGGAGTTCAATAACCTCATAGGCTCCATTATACGAAGCTTCGATGAGAGGTGTCGACCCTGTGTGATTCGACATTGAAATATCGGCCCCCGCATCTAGAAGGATCTTTGAGAGTGTCAAATTCCCAGCGTTGCCTGCAATCTCAAGAGCTGTTCTACCAAACGGCGCCTTGGCATTCACATGATGCTTCTCGTCGTGGATGAGGCAGGAAGCAAGCTCAGTGAAGCCAAGACGGGCAGCGTAGTGTAAAGGACTAGCATGGTGAGGTTCAGTTGATGAATCAGCTCCCAACCCGAGCTCTACGCTGTACTTCTCAAACAAGTCACGCCACGTTTCCCAGCTGGGATTGAGTTCATCGAACAAATTCATCATGAGCATTGTCAGTTCTTCGTCTTCCTCATAACCGACGGTGGAATGCTGATACCATGAACTCGCGGCGTAGTGTCGGAATGACCCCTTGACGCTCACTTGAAGTTTTTCTTCCTGGGTGCTTTCCATTTGAACCGTCGAATTGATCTTCTCTTCAAAGTCCCAGAAGTATTGACTGTTGATGTAGCGAAGGCAAAGCTTTGCTAGCCTGCTGTTTTGTTGAAGCTCGTTTAAGACTTGACTGTTCATGCGAATCGATAGCGATTGAGATGAAATGTTGCAAAGAAAATGTTGTTTGACTGAAAAGTGAGTCAAGTGCACCGTCCTTGACCCCCTGTTAGAATCCGAAGATGTACCTCGAACTTCCAAAAGCGAGCCGCAGGGGCTTTGTATTTCGCTTTCAATGAAGTCGTCATCAACTTCATCGGGCAACTCATCCTCAGGGAAATTGAAATCTTCCTCGTCGATCAACATAGCCTCGGAGATTTCGTTGACGGTCAAGGGCCGCAGAGCAAAAGCCGCCCATTGTAATAGAGAATAGGCACGTTTACGGATCGGTTCTGGTAGTTTAGAAATGCGTGTCCAATTTCGTTCATAAATATGATCAAGTCCAGACGGTATTTCATTGATCGCATCCTCAAGTTGCTTCTTGTTCTTCCAGCTGCGCAAGGAATCTTCGTGTAACTTGACCCAGAGGAGTTGGCCATTGGACCGATCCGCAAGCATCTTGGAGACACCTTCTCTTGTTGCTTCGTCCTTTCTCGGCAGCTTCTTGTCGACAATACTTCTTGCGTATCGAGCAACGTCGGATTTCACGTCTTCAGAATCGATTTTGAGTTCCTCGCAATTTTTTGAGCACATCATAGCACTTCGAATCTCAGGCTCGTCCCGACTGACAACTAGGAGGCGAGATGCCGTGTTGGTAATTGCGCCAATCACGGTGTTGAGAAACCTCCCCAAGGACTTCCCGTCATGCGGAGCCTTCCCCAACCAAGTACACTCATCCAAGCCATCCAAGACCAAGATGGCTCCAGGTACGACTTGCAAAATTTCTCGAAAGATACTGACGATTTCTGTCTCGGTGGCGAATTGTTCGTTTTGAGCTAGCCACTTTTCTCGCACCAACTGGTAGGTAATCTGGTCGGACGATGCCATCTGGTGGACCCATGCTCGAATCGCCGCATAGGGATTGTCGCGGCTTTCGAATTCAGATGACAAGAAGAAATAGACCACAGGCGTCTGGGATATCGATCTCAAATGTTCGATGATTCTCGCGCATAGAACAGTCTTTCCAAACCCGGCTGGTCCATTGACCCATAGGAGCCTTTCGGTATCATCGACAATTTTACACGCTTCGTTTAGAGCAAGCCACTCAACGAATTCGGGACGGTCAATAATCCAATCACACGTCCCATTGATTCTTCTCTCTTTGGCTTCAGGAAAGAGATCGTTCGGCGGTGGGCATGCTAGCCAGGCCCGAAGGTCTCGTCGAGTCTCGGCTGCAGTCGCCGGCGTCAGTCTTAATCGCAGTATTTCGGGAAGTTAAGGTGAAGAATCTCGATATACCTTCCATCTCCCTTTCCAACCGAGACAAGGTCTGTCGAAGCTCGCGAAGCCACGTCTGTTTCTCAATATCGTCATCTAAGCCAGATGGTCTTGTCAGATTTGTCTGATCGTGAACTTTCGTATGTGACAATTCGATATCAGGATAGTACAACTAGGCTATCTCCAGCATTGACAGCCGATGCTTGAACTGTGCTTGAGCTTAAGGGGACGCGGGCGTAAAGACACACCTATTCCATAAGCACAAGTCTCATTGGACTTATTGGTAGCTTCCCCACCTGGAAATGAACTATCTGGAGGAACCAGGTTGTGCAGATGCTGGACGAGAACTCCGAGGTTTTCGACTTGAGAAGTGCGTCTAGCCTTGCCCCTCAAGGACCAAACAAGCTTTTGCCTCCTTGATTCTGATGACTTTGGAAGGGATTGGATGCCGCGAGTGACGGTTGCTAAATTTTCATCCAGCCCGAGTTCTGATGTTGTTACGTCACCACAGATTGCCTTGATGACACTAAGCAGCTCTACTGCCATCAAGCGGACCTGCGGGTCATTCAGAGCGGTGTGATGGTCGTTCGAGAGCTTCCCTTGCCGGAACCCAACATCGCAGGCCCATTTTTTGAGGCGAAGCTTTTCCGCATCGAGCTGTACAGCGAGTGAACGTGAATCACGGTCGAAATCTTTATATATGTCGACTCTCTCGATGACATCTAGACAAGTGCTCAGAATGCCCGCGAGCCCAGCGATTCCGACGGCTAATCCAACCGGCTCCATTGTCATTGATATTGAAATTGGACTCGGAATTGCGATGAGAAAGAAATGAGGCTGCTGAGGCTGCCTACCTTAGATGAGGGGAAATGGCATCCCGCTCTTGTCTCTCCTGTAGCCTCGTTGATTGGGCCTGCATGCAGTCATCTGCCCGGGCATTGATTGGTAGAGAATCGATTGCCGCCCAGCACAATTCTTTTTTTTGCCTGCATTAGGCCAAGTTCAACGTGCCACAACTTCACAATCCATCTGATTGTCTTTCGACTGGTGAGAGAGGATCATTGCTTGGCCGTTGCGGAGGATGCAGAGATGAGTACTAGCTAAGATATCTTAGCAAGTGGGTGACAAGATGGGACGCCGGTCAACAAATGATTATAATACGTACTTACCGATGAATTCTCCTTAATTTTCCGTACTCTTCTTGTTTCCAAGTTCTCTTGTTGCTTTTATGTTGCAGTTACTTATTGGAGAATAAATGGTGCAGGGCGCTGAGCTGGGAGTGTGGTGTTGTCCCGACTACCGAGCATTGAGATCTTCCGCTTGACAAAAACAAAAAAGAAGAAAAGGAAGAAGAAAGAGAGGTATTGGACAAGATGGGAACGGCACTACTGCAAAAGGTGACACTTCCATATTCCAATGGGCCAAGAACATCAGCATCGTGAATGGTGTGGACTTCCACATCGTCTTTCTCCTACATTGCCTTGATTACTTGGATACGGCGGGCAAACTCTGCCAGACCAACGACGATCTCAAATGGGCTCGAGCTACCACCAGGAACAATACCCAGCATGGTACCTTCGATACAAAGAAGCACTTGCTGAGGCTCATCTTTACAAATCGCCACGTCCGAGCATTTTTTATGCGGACCTGTCGAGTCTTGCAACGAGCGCTAATGAATCTCTTTATCGCGTTTGCCCATCGGCGTAGACGACATCGGCTGTGATTGCGATGAGAGAAGATTGGCGTATCAAGATAGAGTGTACGATATGATCTGCAGAACGTCCGAAGACGACTTGTTCAAAAAAGCGAATATCAGTCGCGGGGAGTACAAATTGCGGAAGAAAGCAAACAAGATTTATGCACTCAGCAAAGGGCAAAGGTCACAGGTACGCAAGGCAATGGAAGCAATCCGGGAAGGGGTTGACGCAGCGCTTCAGAAGGCATCACTCAAGAAAAATCTACCACTCCGCCAACTCCCAAAGACTCGGGGAGATGTTATATTCAGCTACTATTTGTTGGCTCCAGATGAGATCGACACATGGACAAGCATCCAAGACGCTGAGAATGATTCGGACAACGCCGTCGACATGGATAATCCATTTGATGGGTCATGAGGTGTTCATTTTTGGGTGCAAGATTATGATTATCCTGATGGAATTACTGCGAAAGCACGTGGACCCATCAAAAGAACGAGGTCCTTCATCACGAGGAAATCAACCCTCTTGGAAGGGGAGATTACTATCGGCCGCCTCAACATTGGCTTCGTCGACTTCCTTTGCCCGCGAACCGTAGGGCTCTACGACACCAGGTCAGATCACTTGTACGAAGGTCACAAGGTGAAGATTCAATTCATTAACGATGATTACCTTAATCTAGATTTGGACTCTACCATCTTTGCAAACAATTCCGGCCCAGAGTCGCCTTGGCCATTAACTGTCAAACCAGATCGCCGGTTTTACGGAGTCACAAAGACTAAGAGACGGAGTCTTCTGGACCAAAGAACCTGGGAAGGAGGAGGCACGAGTCAAGAAGAGAGGACACAAGCTCCACGCGTGACAGGAAGACGGAGTGCAAACTAGCCAATCTAATGGGGGCGCATTACAAGACTCGGTGCTCTCAATGGAATACAAATGTGTAATCATCTCTATCAATCGAAAACTAGCGCCTAGAAAGTTCCCACGACAGTAGCATTACGCGCCGTCGAGGCAAGCTTCAATATGACCTCTTCTCCCTTCCACTCCGCCGCGCTACCGTCGACGGTGACATTCTTCAGTTGGCTCCCTTCTGGAACCCGCAGCTTAACCCAAACTTCAGCTGGAGGCGCCTTACTGAAACCTAAAACCGTCGTGATGGTACCCGCCTTCTCGTCCAGCTGCATATCGAGGTCGACTGATCCCCATTTGGTCGGGGCTCTCTGTACTCCGACCTTACCCTTGCTAAGCCATTTCCTCGGAACGCCTCGTCCAACTAGCAAAGCATCCTTGTCGGGGTGATCGAATAACAATGCTGCCCTAAGCAAGACGGGGACGGTAAATTGGGAAGGCTGACAGTATGTGCTGGAACCACCTCCAGTTCCGGCAACTTCAGCCGCAAGCCATAAGCCCCTGTTATAGACATGATACCGATGAGAGTATAAGAAGAGCACAAACTCATCAAGGCGGTCCTGGACAAGCAACGAAAGGGCGTAGCCATATGAAATGAAGCCCAAGATGTCGCGAGTATCAGACCTAAGGGGCGTGACGTTGGCAACGACACCCACGCTGGTAATTCCGTAGGCGCGCATGGAGTCAATTACCATGTCAGTATGGTTTGATGAGAGCACTGATGCTTGAAGCAGTTCCGAGTAGACCCGGTGCGGCCACCACTGAGAGGATGCGTCTCCCTTTTCGGCCAGGTCTTCGAGAACATGGGTTGTTTCATTCGGCAGGACAGGAACATAAGCAGGTGTGAAGTTCCTTTGGATCCATTGGTCCAATTTGAGGGATGTCTGGTTTATGAGCTGCTCAGCGCGAGTGTTCCAGTCGTTGGCATGGTCGGCAAATGTCTCAATCTTGCTAAGATCCTTAAGACCGCGAGCAGCGAACGCCGCATTGTTCCAGTACGGTTTCTCGAATCGCCATGCATCGTTTCTCAGTGCAGCATCAGATTCGCTCCAGCCAGAAATGAGGCCGTAGTATGGATCATCTTCAGGGAGCTTCAAGTTCTCGTCTTGGCGTGCGGTAAGCATGTTGGCCCAGGCGAGGATCTTCGTCTTGTACTTCTCCGGAAACGCAGTGTCGCCCGTGTACTGGACATAGCGTGCGATCAAAGAAAGTGACATGCCGAACTGGGGCACGGCAGGCCCACGCATCTTGATGGCTCCGTTGTCGTAGACATACCAGTCCATGTAGTTCTCAAGGATGGCCTTGGCCTGAGCAAATCGTCCCCAGGCCAAGTTAGCTGTGAGCGACATGGTCATGATGTCTTGGAAGCCGTCATATTCTGATCCGCCATAGTCGCGTTCAAAGGCACCGTACCTCGGAGTGACACCTCCAGCGCGACCAACAAGCTCTACAGCAAAGGCATGTTTCCCAATATCCGACCAACTCTCATCCGGAAGAGTCAAAGATATTTCGTCCTTGACGTGCGAGTCCCAGTAGTCGGCGAACCGCATCAAAGCAGGGTAAAAGTCATCTGCAGTAGGATGCGCCTTCAAGGGCAGGAACTGCTTGTAATCCAGAGCATACTTCTGTGCACGCAGGACTCCGCCCTTGACATACTTGATAGAGAACCAAATGTGAACGATATCGGGATCTGGAGAGTCGACGTCGGCGAATGTAGTGATATCAACCCAGTCGGTTGTGTCAACGAGGCCCCGGTAAATCTTTCGAGAAGCAGGCATCCATCCGTTGAGCAAGCCATCGAAAGTGTAATTAGAGTGAGTTCCGTCTGCAGCCTCCGACATGTCATTCCAGGGTGCGTAGTTCTTTGTCATGGACTGCCAGTCCAGGGCCATCGTATCGTTGGCCTGGACGTTTCCAAGGTACACATCCCACGGCAGGAAGGACAGGTCGATGACGTCGCGAACGTGTTCCTCAATAGGTTCACCATCTTGGAGAAGACGCTCTGCCAACACGTCATTCTGCTTGAGATTGACATCGTTTGCAGGATCCAGGCCAAAATATGCGTCCACCGTTCGGTTGATAGATACAGACTCGTCCGTGGAGGCTTCAACGTATCGCTTGATCTCTCTGCGAGTTCCAGAAGCAGACACCAAGACGAGCGGGCCATCGAATCGAGTGATGTCTTCGTATGCCGTCCATGTTTCCCCCTTGTAAGTAAAGGTGTCGATGGATGTTAGTCCATCAACGGTCGTTTCTTGTCGAGGATTCAAGTGATCCGCGGAAGTGCTGTCGGGAAATCCAGTGTAGTCATTACCGGAGAATTGTGGCACCTCATGGTACGGTTTTGGGTGCTTGACTGGACCTCTTCCGGCCAGAGATGTGAGAATGAAAGACGAGAAAAAGAGTGACTTAATAAAAGAGTGACGAGGCATGGTTGCAAATTTTGCCCAAAGGGCACTGACAATCCCTAAAACGAAAAAACCTGGCCTAATTTCCAGACTGCCAACATCGCAACTTGGGGTTTTCATTGATTTATACTGCATAGCAGTCATCAATTTCTGTCAAAGCCGAGACTATCATGGGTGTCTCGTACGCGTGCACCGAGTCAGGCAAATGCGCTAAGAAACGTTAATTGACATCATGCCGCATTACCGGGGAGAAGTCATATTCTCCTACGGTTTTTTGTAAGGAAACAACCCAAAATCTCCCCATCATCAAGTTGGAGGAAATGAGGCATGGGGTTCCGAGAACTCTTTTATATTAGATAAGGTTTAACTTTGGGCAGTCTAGCCTGTGTAAGAAGGTCTCAGCTTATTTGCTCGCGAACCACAACTTGAACCAAATGCATGCGGTCCAATCCCTATTCCTAAACGCTATTTCTAATTTCTGGAATTCTTGTGATCAGGAATTCTCACTACATGCACGACCTTATGTATTCAGCTCATGTATTCTTGATGTCGTGTAGTGGATGAATGCTCTTTCCGCAAGTTCCGGCAAAGATTGAAAGGGGGCTCAGATATTAGAGTTGACAGGGATACCCGTGGACCTAGCTGGTGTGGCCGCTGTCTAGTGCAGAAACGACCCCTTTGGTGGAGTTCGTTGACACTGTTACAGTTCGCTCACGGAAGTGGAAGGCCAGACTGGCTCTTTATTTTCGGAATTGCATGTTGTCTGCATTTGCAGAGCAAGCTTTAAGATCATTCGAATCCGATAATCGGCCTTGATGAGACCCAAGTAGAGATCCGACGATTATTCTTGGAAGTGAACTTCAATCAGTCTGAGCATGGGAGTCACCAAGTGATTCTCGAGCAGTGCAGACTCGACGCTTGAGAACTTCAAGTTGCTCCCGAGGTCCAAGAAACTCGGGGTTGGTTATTGAACTCTCTCAGTGCACAAGGCTATGTCTTTCAACTGATTGCTACACTGCGGCAGCACCACGGTCTTGATTTGTAATCTGAGCTCTTGTGCTTGTCCAGTACGAGATGGTGATTTATCGAGCAGAGGTTGCCAACCCCATCATTATCGAGAATGTACCGGCGATCTAAGATCTCATAATGGCTGTTCATATTTCACTCATGGACTAGGAATGCTCGTCTCAAGACTCCAAATTCGTGATATACAGCACATCTGACAACTCTACATCTTTTCGTCATTAATTGTACATCCATGGACAGCCACTTCCGTCCATGCTCTCGAATCCTGTTCCATCCTGAAGCCAATCTTGGTCCAGAAACATGCAATCATTACCGTTTTGATCCAGCGATAGCTGCTCGTGGAAGCCGATATCAGCCGGCATATCAAACACAGACTTCGTAGCAGGTTGTTGGCCTTTTTTCAAATCCATAAACTCCCCAAGCTCTTCCAAAGGAGAAAAATCAATATCAAGAAATCCAGATACCCCTGGCCGTATCGCACACCCAGAGCTCATGCTGTTCTCAACCTCTTGCGCCGCCCTACTTGTCTCCGTGGCTCTCTTCTCGGCCTCTTTCGCGGACCTCCACTTTTCAATCAAGCTTTCCAGCTCAGTGCTGGCTTTCTGCGCCACGGGATATGACTTTGCGAGCTCGGATAAGGCTTCAGTGGAACTCTGAAGAAGAACTTCATGGTTGCCTGGTTGTCCTGCACGAAGGTTGAGGAGATGAATGCTACCTGCGATGAAAACAAAGTGTACAATCGATGGCGGCATCTGTCGCATATTGAAAGATCGTCTGTAAGTCGTTGCGAGCTTTGTGATGTTTGCTGCTGCTGTAGCGCATGCGTGTGTGGAGTTGAGAGCCGAAGAGTTCATGTTGTCGACGTTGAGGAATTTTGAAGACAATCGGAGGAATGGCCGGTGGAGTAGAATGAGAGCAAAGTAGAAGTTCATTCTGCGTGGTTCTTTAGCTCCTGTTCTTGATCCTTGGCTGGCACGATCACATGAAGTCTTGAATATACTTACTGCAAGATGAAGACATGGGGCTGTGCCAGGATATTTGAATCGCTGGACCATGTCAAGCTCTTAGGAAGATCGTGATGCCACTGCCATAGGGCTCTGTGAAGTTGTGATGCTTTCAATCTCATCTCGCTCGTAGATGAGTGCCGCCGTTGACGGTGGATACTAATTAGAATCTTAGAACATAGCACTGAGAGTGTTGAGGTGTGATGTAAAAGTGACGAAGTCGATTCGGCTTCGTCTTTGCTGATGCCTTTGAAGGGTCGCTCAGGTATGGGAATGGTGATATCCCACTCCATAAAGGAGTTTGGTCGCCCACAGTAAGCGCTGAATAGGCTGATTACAATTGATTGTTAGTCACACGACTCGCTGCTGGGAATGATCAAGTCCGGGTTGGTGTATTTACTTGTCTTCAATGTGGCAGCCCCAGAATACTCTCCTTCTGAGATCGGCCATCTCCTGGCTCATCTTACCAGACGCAACAGCTTTAGAACAGTCCAGATGTAGGCCCAATTTACTCGCCATTCTGAAGGCAATGCCTATTTAGTAAAGACATTAGTGGATGGACATATCATTGCGACTCAAAAATGCTCTTACCACTGTACATCCACCCAAGGGAGTTGTCCTTCATGGCTCCATATCGAGAACCAAGTATCAAAGCCGCCTGGACAGTGGAAATGGTTGGGTGATCCATCTCTAGATCAAACATTGAGCGTGCTCGCTTCGCAAAAGTCTCTCCGGCGACACCGCCGGTAGAAGTAGAGTACCGCACGACTCCCTTGTCAAGACTTATCATCGATGCCAGAGCCATGATCGCGTACAACAGACATGGGGTATAAAAGTTTCGATCGCCGCGGTGTCCTTCACTGTCGTCCCAAATTTCCCGATGGCGGAGGAATAAAGCACGATCAACGACGAGGAGGTGAGATGATTGCCATTTCCAGAATAGGTCTAGCAAATGGGACACAATTGGTTCTGGCTCGGGAAAGCATTCGAGAGCACCGCGAGCTTGTCTGCTCGTGTCGTCCTCAAAAGGAGAGCCTTCCCCGCGTGGACTCCTTGATCGAGACTGATTCTCGGAGTACGGGAATAGGGTCACAGAGCCAAGAAATTGGTCAAAGTCTTGCATACTATCGGGTGTCCCAATCTCTTCCATGACGGGAGGGACGCTCTCGGAGACGCAGTCAAAGTCTGGCCTGCTGGGGCCTGAGAAGGAGATCGATCGGATGCCATTGTGTGTGATGTCGTCGGTCTTCGGTCTGTTTTGCCCCGAGAAGGATACAGATCTTGAGTGTGAGGCGGGGTGAAGCTCCTGTTGCGACGTCACAGCCCAATTGTTCTGTCCTCCCTCCGGAGGAGAGATCGATATCGTCATATTCTGAGTCCCCGGACTTGAAGAGCTGGCAGGGCTTGGGAAGGCACGTATCCTCGCATCCTGGTAGCTGTCTACAGTCCGTCGTGCCTGTTCCATCAGACAATCCGAAACTTCATCCGTCTTGTGCCGTGTGACCGGGAGCTCTGGGTTTTTGGAGACGTTCTTGACAAACTCCTCTAGTGCCTGCATTCGCCGTTGCAGTGCCTTGGTCTCGTTCGGTTGTCGTTGACTGCGCTTATCCTCGCCGTAGCGGACCTCACACTTTTCGTTCTTGTTTCGACATGAGGTGCAGGACCGGTCCATTCGGTCCCCCGAGCTCAAAATTTGAGAGATGTCGCATCGTCTCTTGTCTTTCTTGCATCGTACGCATGCGAAACTCGCGCGGCTCGCGTGTCGGTCTCGGGTCATGATTGGAGTTGTGGAAGGTTGTTCAGTTGCGTCTGCTTTCTTTCTCCCTTCTCCAGTCAGCGTGTAGGATGTGGGAGCAAGTATCAGAGAAAATTGTAAGATTTGAATCTCGTGGGGGGAGGGCGGTCACGATGAGCAACAAAGTCAGGTACGTGGGGGTATAATGGGCCCAGAAAAAAGTGCAACACACGACAGCTAACTTTGTTTTGTTGGTCACGATCTGCTATTCTAAGATCAGAAACGGCGGGCATAAAGGGCCCCGGCATTACCCATCTCGGATTAGGACCCTTCGTCCCAGCACAAATCGCAACACACCCCCCTAGGTAAGGATGATGGTAAGCGTGGCTATATGCCCGTGTCATTGGAGAAGGGCAGCCAATTGTCGTCAACCAACAACATTGGCACTGCAATGAAGTACGTGGAAGGCGAGAGCTGTTTCTCGGCAGCTACCACTGCGGCACGAACACCGGACGCCAGACGCCGCGCAGTCCGGGTAATCGTAGGATGAGGGGGAGGCAAACGGCAAACGGGAAAAGTTGACAGACTCCCAGGGGTTTGACTTGTAAGACATCCTTGTGGAGTGTTTGGCTCTTTCAGTTCCCGTCTTGTCAGTTATTGGCCCTGGTCGATATGTACACATGGGCTTGTCATGGCTCCGATCTCGGCATGATCTTGCGTACAGATTCCATTATCGAGGGAATCGAATCTGAGATGCGTGTATCAGTCTATCCAAACTCCCGGTGTCAGCATTGAACTATCCGTTTGCAAAAACTCACGGTGAGCAGAACGTCGCTAGATCCATTCAAAGGAGCCTCAAGTCCCCAAAAAACCTTGCCCCCGCGAACCCCCAGACTCCGCAAGTTGGACCCCCTTGAACTCAAAAAGGATTGACCCGGCCAACCCGCCACTGAGATCACGTCTGTGCCCCGGACCTCGGATTGCCCAAACAGGTAACCCGGCGCATACGATTTCCCCGGGACCCTCAAGCGCCCCCATAGTTCCGGGTCTAGTCTCATCCAACAACAAAACATTCGCGACGTTGAGGTTGGTAAGTCCCAGTTTTCCTTCCAATATCCAAAAGTCTGGACCTCAGGAGAGCAAGGCCGCATGACCACGTCAAGGAACAAGCCAAGAGCTGAAGCCTCCCGGCAAGCTCGAACAGCTCAAAGCCTCGAACAACAACCCAAGAGATCCGGCCGCTGGAACACTTATGCGGGGCAGGCCCCGCAAGATGTGTTCATGTGTACAGCTTTTCCTCCCGGGGGTCAGAGAGACGGACGGTGGGAGTATGTCATAACTAATACGAAGCCTGCGGAAATGTGGCAATCATTCACATTCCCACGGCTTCCCCCCTCCCGGAAGAATGCCCCGGATGCGAGCCGCAGCCAATGCGAACGGTGCGGAGACGTGGCAAAACTTTTCCGCAATCCTGGGGAAAGGGGTCTTTCTGATGTTACGTCTTTTTGAGAAACTCGAGCCGCTGACACTTAGAACCCCGGTTTCCATGCCTGCCCTAGGGGAAATTGGCGTGTGTTCGGGAGCGGAGCCTCCGCCGAGCCGAGTTCCCGAACCGAACTCATCCTGTCAACACGGGCGAGGGAAGTGCCATCGTGAGTTGGTCATTAGGCAGGTTGGGCCATGGTCCGGTGGGAGCGCGATTACAATCAGCAAATTCATACGAACTTGCCTCTAGATTACACCGTTGTATGGTCTGTGATCCAGATAATGGACATAACACATTGAATGTTGGCTGAACCCAAGGGAGTGATGCTATGTGGAGTTACATGTATGACCCCTATGCTGATAAATAGATCTAGGCGAAAGGGGACTCTACCAAAGAGCTGAGACTCGTGGCGAATGACATCGACTGAGGATCGAGTTACCTAAAGCCGGCACGGCTATTAAGTGAGAAATCTTCTCTGAGATAGAGTGCTTGTGAACTTACTGAACAGCTTTCAGCTACAGCATGATTCACGTATTCGGCCTCTTCCAGCTTCGCTAGTGGTCCCCTGTTACCTCTATTGGTCAATCTGACCTGCCACAAGGACCTAATAGCTTGACAGTTTAATGGCATATGTTGCTTCCCTGTCTTTCCCGGCAGTTGGGGCGCCCTCAGGAACGGCCACTCGGGTCCCGACAGCGTGAATGCTCACCGGCAGATGAGAGTGCTAAGCTTCTGAGCAGAGCCTTAGTCTAACATGTGTCAAGTGCTTGCATGTCGCTGAAGCCCCTGACATCTTTGATCCATTGGCGAATCAAGCGTCGGGATGAGATAGTCAACTCGGAACGATGCTGTCATACCAGCTCCGAGGCCGCTTGTGGATCATGATCTCAGGGCTAACAAGCTTCGACCCAATGGCTGCAGTTTGCTACTTCGATCAGAGCTGGTTTGAGCAACTTAGAGTGTTGCTGCGGCCTTGGGTATGAGGCTGTTGACTGACAACTCTCATCGTGTTTGTAGTGAGTGTATGGCGTGTCTATTGGTTTGCCCCAGATCGAACCAAAGGCTAGACCCAGCAGCTTGTAGAGCTCCGTACCTACTCAAATACTCATAAAGCCCAGAGTGGCAATATTACCATGGTTGACCATCTAGCCATGAGATCGACAAGAAACTATAAATCATTCTATGGTGTCTGCCAGTGGTATAGCACTTCTCCTGGTGTGTAATAATGGTGGCTCGAGAGACCAGGCTAGAGTGAGTACAGAAATGAGGCTTCACGATGATGAACTTGTCATTATTTTGGCTAAGTTGGCGAAGTTTCATTATCAGGCCTGCCATGTCGGTTCTCAGAGTTGCCAACAAATTGAAGCGATATTGAACATGAAGAGTTTTGGTAAATTCAATCTAACGCTATATTATATGTGAAAATGAAGGTACGAAAAGATAGGCTCAGAAAAATCAAGCCATGCCGGATTGCAAGCCCTTGATGGCAACCATTGCACCCCAGGCACCAGGATCGGGGTGGAATGACGTATCCTTCCCAGACGCTGCGACATACGTTGCACGACCAAGCTTAGCCTTGGTCTTCCTCGTGTATTCGGCTCCCTCGACAGCTGCCTCGACAGCTCCCTCGAAACCCTTGCTGCGAATTGCATCAACAAATGGGATCAAGACATCCAGGATCGTCCGGTCTCCGATCTTGGCGGGTGTGTAATGACTCAAATGCGCAAGAGCAGACGTCAGCGCCAGTGTCCAGAGAGGCAAGATACCTTGCGACTTTGCCAACGACGCGTTCTCCTCTACGGAGTTGCTGAGCGAGACGAAGAAAATGCCGAGGATACCACCAAGCGTGCCACCCATCTTGCTCTCAACAATGTCCTCTAGCTCGTGAAGAACTGAGACGATGGATCCCTCGGCTGCGATACCCTTGTTGTCTAGAGCATCGAGGAGATGCGAAGCGCCCGTTTTCAGGGTTTCACCGCAGTCGCCGTCACCCATCACCATGTCCCACTTTGTCAGATCAGGCTCGGCTTCAATGACTGCCTGGCAAGCCATGTTCAGCATCGACCTGAGCGTTGCCGGGTCCATTCTCACGTCGCGGTCGGCCTCAATCTTCTTTGGCTCTTCAGGAGGTGACTGCACGAACTGAAGTTTTCTATCGCGGCGGACAGCTTGAGCGCCAGCCATCGACTCCCAGTGTGTGTTGGTCTTGAGGTCGGCGAATCGGAAGATTTGCTCTGCTGAGAAACTGCACTTCTTTGATGCCGCTGTGATGTTCATCAAGGAGATTGAGAATGCAGGTGCGTTGAGAGAGGTTTCGAGAGGGCCGGAGTACACTCTTGACGGTCTGATGTTCCACTTGGTGTCGAGCTGCTCGAGGAGCTCGTCGACAAGAGCGCCCATTTCCAGGTAGGAGATGCCTCCGAAATTGCTGACAAGGAGGATCGTCTCGTCGTCGTTGTTGAACTTGACATAAGCTCGGTCGTGATCCTCCTGGTCCAGGCAGTACCGCAGCAGCTGGTCAATCAGGCCCTCTGCAGTAGGCGCGGGCGAGACCTTGCTGTAGCCGGGCTCATTGTGAGGTCCGGTTCCCACCTCCACCTCGTCGGCGCCCAGACGAGCGTGCTCTGTGCGCCCGGGAACATGGCAGTGGTCCATGGTGGCCGCGATGGACACAATTTCGGACTCGACAGAAACACCAAGCTTGTGGATGTCATCGAGAGTGCCGGCCTTGACGCCAGCTGCTCCACTGATGACTTTGAGAACACCAATCTGCCCAGCAAGACCTCTGCGTCCTACCAGGCTACCACCTGCCTTTCCAACAGACACATCGTCACCGCAGATGATCATGCGGCAGTTGTGCCCACGACTCCGTGCCTTTTCTGCAGCGAGGCCAAAGTGGAGGCAGTCGCCGGTGTAGTTGGTGATGACAAGGATCGTGCCGACATCTGAGGGCACACGCTCAATAGCAGACTGAATTTGCTTCGCAGACGGGCTGGCAAAGATGTCTCCGGATACGGAGGCCGCCAGCATGTTATTGCCGACATAACCTGCCCATGCGGGCTCGTGGCCGGAGCCACCGCCAGAGATGATGCTGATTTTGGACTTGTCGTATGTTGAGTCAAAGACCACACGGTTTGACTGGTCCAGACCAAGAGAAGGGTTGTATGAGATGAACCCTCTGAGAGACTTGTCAACGAGCCCCTCTGAGGAGGTAAAGATGTGGCGGTCGGACATGATTTGTGATGGTGCTTCTATCTCTACTTATGTGTAGGGGTATGGGATGTCGATGAAGCTCACGAAACAAATTGCAGAACTGGACAATGTGAGCTTCCTTTGATATTGAAGTTCGATTTGAGTCTGATAATGATCACAGAAAGGCCCATCCTGATGCTGACCAGTCGATATCATATGTGGTGTGGTCGGTTGATGGTGTGCGATTTTCCGGGGACCCAGTAAATCGGTCGTGTGTGCGTCTCGACCCCGGATTTCCGCAGCGGAAGATCGGCTAGGGGGGTGAGCCATCCGCGACAAATCACACCCACACCGATGCACATGGCGGTCTCGACGCTTTATAAAGAAGTATTGTAAGTCGTGGCGGTAGCGGCCTTTGGTACTTTCTTATACTCGTCTCCAGACATCCGAGAAATCAAGGAAATTTCTATCTCCAGATCCGTCTTCAAGCTTCACCACCCCGCATCATACAAGAACATTCAAGATGGGCAGCAACCCCGTTTCCAAGTACCGCATCGTAGTCGGATGCGACGTAAGTCAGCAGAAGTGCCTTGCTTCTCAAAACATGAGACTGACACCCAAACAGGAGGCTGGCATCAAGTACAAGGACACAATCAAGGCAGACTTCGAAAAGGACGCTCGCGTTGAGTTCGTCGAGGATGTTGGAAGCCACGATGGCGCAGACAAGACGGCATACCCTCATAGAGCCGCCGCCGCCGCTCAAATGGTAGCCGACGGCAAGGCCGACCGCGCGCTGCTCATCTGCGGCACGGGGCTCGGCATGGCCATTGCTGCCAACAAGATCAAGGGCATCCGCGCTGTAACAGCACACGACAGTTTCAGCGTCGAGCGTTCAATTCTGAGCAACGACGCGCAGGTGCTGTGCATGGGTGAGAGAGTCATTGGTTTGGAACTTGCAAGACGACTAGCGAAGGACTGGCTTGGGTACACATTCGACCCTACGAGCAACAGTGCGGAAAAGGTTCACGTCATCAAGAGTCTGGAGGCTACAGCATGAAGCATTTTTTGGTTGCATTCCTTTTAAATAACGATTAATAAAAGCGTTCATTCTTCTTCCAAATATTCACCCTAAACCACATCTTTCGCAATGACATGCTCAGGTCTCATGTGAATCTGCGATCTCATACCCTGCGCCCTCATGGCACACATCTTAAGTCATCGGAAACTCCCAATGACTTGGTTCTCCATTCAGGCTTCGTAGGATGATATCAATGTTGGTTGCTCTCACATGAACGTCTTGGCGAATGATGTTCGGGGCTACATGCAGAACCCGGTATACACACCATTCGGCAGATCCTGAGCCCGGAGAGTCGTGACAAGCTCGGGGCCGGTGCGCGGCCCTACTCAATGATAAAAAAGTACTTAAGAGCGCAAGAACCCCTGCTTCTCTGTTTCTACGATCTTTCACTCATCCTGTTCACTCTCATAAGCGTGACCAGTGAGTTGAAGTCAAGCCCGGGATGAGCTTGATTTAGCAGCAGCAGTAAGTCGGATTACAGGTAAGCTAGTTGATTCCTCACATACTATCCATCATATTGTAATTCCAATTTCCTAAAGACTCATATGTCCTTAATTATGGTGCTCGTTCTTCCAGATGTCGTTCAAACTCTCTGCGTCGACATTGAAGCTCGCCATTCCCTATTTCCCCAAGTCTCAATATTGGCGGGACAAGATCTAGGTGAGCTCCGTCAGCTTTCCCAGCGGAAATTTAGGTGCACCTATTGCAAACGAAGAACGGAGAGATTGCAAATTCTCCGAATCTTGGATTGAG